CTAAAGACTTTCTCCAATCTACATTTTAGTAGAGTATATTGTAAAGTCTTCTTGTGAGAAGATAATACTAAGAATTTCTTACCAAATAGAGTTTTATCTCTAAACTTTTCCCTAGAACAGAGACCTGGGCAATGGATCAGGGAATCAAGAATATGCCAATTTGTCAAGCATTATGGTTTTACAAATCAGTACTTGCTTTGACCTTGAAGGAGCTTAAGCTATGGTAGGGATGGATCAACAATTTTTATTAACACAATAAAATAGGGTGCTATGATTGCAAAAATCTATAACTTGAAATCCAGTCACCAATGTTACTGTATTTGAAGTTGGGGTCTCTGGAAGGAGATTAGCTCATCAGGACTCTATCCCAATGGGATAAATACCCTTATAAAAGAGGCCCTAGAAAGCTAAATAGCCCTTTCCATCAAATGAGAACACAACAAGAAGGCACCATTTATGAAGCAGAGAGTGAGTCCTCACCCCTGATTTTGGACTTTCCAGCCTCTAGAACTGCAGGAAATACATTTCCGTTGCTTTAAGGTGCCCAGTTAATGATATTTTGTTGTAGCAAACTGAACTAAATGAGTAACATCAGGTAAATGAGATATGATTTGCAAGTACAAAATATTTTTAGGTGATAATACATTAGAACTTATATATTAAAATTACAATCATAATAAAAATAATTTTCATTTGAGAAACAGTATTCTTGTATTTTTAATCTCTCACCCCTTTCACAACCTCTTCTTTTATGAGTCTCCAATTGTTCATTATACAACTCTGTATGCCTTTGTAGACCCATAGCTTAGCATTCACTAACATCTTTCTTTAACTTGCAATATTCTAATGATTCTTTAAATGAAAATGAACCAAAGAATTGTTTTACAGTTCCAAAAACATGTGAATAAATTAAGCAATGGATAGATATTTAAAATTATGTTATTAAAACTTTACATTATACTTTGTAGTTTTATCTAGTAAATTATTTTTTTAGTTTAATTTTAAAGCACTTTCCCCCCCCAAAAAAACCCCTTTTAATTATATCTGCAACTTTGTATTCTGGTCCTATTATGTGTGGTAACTGGCCACTGTAGAAGAAAAAAAAAAACCAAAAAAGCCTTCTGCTTTCTAAAAATGAACAATGCGCACAAGAATTAATAATTTAGAGTATTTCATTGTAGTGATTAAGTTACTCTTAATAGGATATAGAATGGTCTAAAATACCTCATTATGTACAATTTCTAATAAAGGCAAATTAATTAGACATAGTAAATAATGCAAAAAGTTTTAATATACTTTGCAATTTTATAAATTATGTTGCCTCATTTTTAACATAGCATTAGATAAGAATAAATTTCAATTGGAGATCTAGAACACTATAAACTAAATGGACCATTCCATTTTTTATTCCACTATTTTCCATATTTATGAAATAGAAATATACATACTATTTACATTTAGATTTGTATAACCTACTGTCATCAAATCCTACATATACTTATTCTGTGTTCCATTAGTCCTTTTGATTGGTTTGTTGTTTAATACAAGTTAACCTAAACAAGAAAAAAATTCTTGGAAATACCAACATTTTTTTCTAACTCATTTATTATTACTACATTCTTTTCATTCTTGTATGTATTAAAACAGATAAAAATTATACGTATGTGTGTGTATTTGTAAAAATAGGCAATTCTAGAATTTGACAAGGTAATAAACATTTTAAGTAAGAAATCTTATAGCTGGGTTCCATGGCTCAGCCTGTAATCCCGCGCTTTGGGAGGCTGAGGTGAGTGAATTGCCTGAGCCCGCAGGTTCGAGACCTGCCTGGGCAACTTGGTGAGACCTCATCTCTACAATTAATCAAAAAAATTAGCCGGATGTGGTAGCGCGCGCTTGTAGTTCCAGTCACTTGGAAGGCTGAGGTGGAAGGATCGCCTGGAGCCCAGCCGTTCGAGGCTGCAGTGCCGGCCACTGTACTCCAGTCTGGGTGACAGAGTGAAACTCCAACTCAAAAAAAAAAAGAAATCTTAAACTAATGCAAGTTCTGAAAAAGGTGTTCCCTAAGACATATTAATTTAACATCTTCTGCCTTCATGCACTTGAATTTTTTCAGGTATCTAATTGTATATAACAATAATCAGATATCCCTAAAACTTAAGTAATAAAAAACAGTCATACATGTATTTTGTTGTTACTGTAACTTAAATTTATTCAACAAATCTACTGAATAGCTATAATGTAAAATATATTGCTAATACAAAATATATAAAGTATAGCTTGCTAGCTGCAATGATGGTAATAATTGCTAAGGATTATATAAACATTCACATATGTATGTTGCATGTGTGTGCATATATGAATGAAATAACTTAGTATGTTATATTCCATGTAAACATTTTGTACATGTAGCATAGTCATTCAAGTTTAGCGAAACATAAACTATGTTCATTACCAGGAGGAGTGAGGGTCAGTTAGAGCCAACTTCACCTGCATACAACCTACTAATGTAGTTAATCCTCAATTGTACCCCACATTCTTATAATAAAATTTTAAAAAATCACTGCAGAAGGTAGAATGTGTATCGATTAAAATTATCAGATTTTCTGCATATTAGTTTTACAAGAATAGGCCTTAGGTAGGCATGTAAGTGGGACTTACTAACAGAAAGTATATGGCTGAAAAATGAACTTCTAATGTATTTAGGAATATTTCGGAGTTGTTACTGGTTATTTTTACTTGACAAATACTCAAACACATAACCTGATTCTTCAGAAGAGTTGGAAATATACAGAAAGGAGTTTCTTGAAAGACTTGATGGAATCCCCACCTGGAACTGGTAAGACAACTGGCATCCAGTTGCTTTCCAGAGCAGGCCAGGGAAACTTGTCTCTAAGAGGAAGTACTATTGACTCATACCCACTGCTCTGTGAAGACTCCTTGGAATGCAGATAAATGGTATCTTTTTTACCTACATTAAAAGAATTAAACTTCACCTGTGTCTATTGTTGGTTTTACTGAATTACATCCCTGTCGCACTAGAGACCACTGTGTCAGTGTTATCATTCACTAATGTAGAACTGAATTTGAAAATCTTGTGCTGAATTTAACATTTTCTAAGGGACTCATTAAACTGCAGAGAAAAATAGAGGAAATTTAATCAATATAATTCTGGATCAAGTATATTCTGTGGAGAATGGAGATTGTGATTCTTGAAACTTTAATGTGAATTTCTCTGGAGCCACTGGGTTCTGTAGCTTTTATTTTTATCAGTGCTTTCCCAGAAAGGAGTGAGGAGAGTGAAAAATAGTTGCACTAATAGCTCCAGGAACATCAATGCTTCCTAACACCAGAAGCAGCTCAGAATCCTGTGCTTACCAATGAGATTGAATTGTTCTCAATTATATCAGACACCTCTGTGTCCCTTGACGGTATCTCTCTTTTTTATTTTAATTTTCTTTCTTTTTTTTTTAGAAAATTGAGAAGCCGTTTCTCATTCTTTTTCTTTTCTTTTTTTTTTTTTTTTGAATCTGTTTTCACATGATCCTCATACCCATGAGCATACTGTCATGAGTAAAAAGACCAATGAGAAAAGGCCACTACTAAACTTCTGCATGGAACTTGGCATCTAAAACCTGAATTATTCTGAAAGAAAATTAAAAATCAATTGGAAATTAGCTAAGTTATTTGGTCTCTGTTTGCAAATATCAGTTTGCACATTTATAGGACAAGCAGCCTACCTGAAATCTGAGTTTCTACAGAAGAGGGAACCAGAATGATTAAACAGCACCCAGAACCTTGTCTCTCTCCTTGCACTCCCCCATGCCTCATACATAAATACATCTGTTACTAAACAATTCCAATCATAATATTTTCATATTTTAATTATTCTTTCCAATTTAAAATCGGTTAATTCATTCTGCCAGCAATCTTACATTTAATATAAAAATAGACATTTTTGCACTAGATTCTATTAACAACTTTCTAACTTAAAAAGAATTCCAGGCAAAAACAACATAGTTTATTGAAGTGCACAGTTTCACCTAATTCGTCTGTTTTCTTGGACTGTATACCATATATTTAACAAATAGTACATCAATTAAAATGTACAGCAGCACTATTAGACATTGGAAATATTGTGTCTAGTTTGCTTCTCTGTCAGCAATATCCCCACCACCTGACAGCCCAATTACCAGGGCATCCTCTAATAACCCAACACTAATGATATTGCTACGTTTTTATTGACCCTTAAATTCATGGATTTTGGTATTCTTAATACTAAAAGCAAATATAAAATTCATGATATCTACATTCTTTTTCATTAGAACCGTATCTGTGATTTTAATAAAATATAAAAATAGTTAAAAGTGTATCTTATCCAATTCTCATAGTTAAACAACTATCTGTTAAGATAAGTCATGCAAAAAATTTAGCACCTAAGCTACTCCTGAATTGTCTCTGTATTACTAGACAATTGTGTAATCCACTGGTAAAACTTCAGATATGCAAACATAGCATTTTGGTGATTAAGGTGTCTACAATTTAAGCAAAGGGATATCTTGAAATAGGTAGATGATTTGGGCAAAGAGCATGCAAGAAACATGAACTGTGAAAATAAAAGCGTATTATAACCTGAATTAGCAATTACTTCCAGGCTATACTTTGCTTTGTGGCACATGGATAGTTTCTAACCATTAGGTTTGCTGATTCTTTGGCATTAACCAACCATGTAACACCATCATAGTTATAATTATCATCACACACACACACACACACACACACACACACACACACACACACACACACACTAATACGACTCTTTTCTATTAGTGTGAATAAACTCAAGTAACAAGCAGATTTAGGGACAGTGATAGTTTAAAGTGGGTAGCAATGATGTAGAAAGAGTTCATCCTAATCTAATTCAAAAATCACCCTATTTTACTAATAGAATAAAGGGATCCCTTCTTTCCTTGTGCTCAAATGGAAACACATTCAAAGGGAATTTACTTACACTGAACGATGAGCTGCACCAAGGCTTCCCTTGGTTTCACGTTAAATCCATTGTATTGGCTGGTCTGACATCTGTACATTCCTGACATCTCTCGAGATACATTCACAATCCTCAGTGTTCCATCATAACTCTCCATTTGCATTGATCCGTCAGGCATTGTAACTTCTTTATCCGCTCTAGACCAAAGGATGATCGGTTTAGGTTTTCCAGTTACTTGACATTGCAATTCTATCGTGTCTCCTTCTCTGGTGACCAATGGTGATTTTTCCTGTGGAACAGTCAGATTGGGTGGAACTTGAAATGGGAAAAAGAAAATTTTTCAAGGTTAGTATAAACTGGTAAAGCATATTCAGACACAGAAAATCATAAGGAAACAATTTCTGCTGGTTGAAGAAATGTGACAATTCAGATGACAAAAAATAAAGACCTTGGGAATAAATGGCATATACTCTCACTTAAAACAATTCTTAATTGTTTTCACTGAACACTCTTAAATGAAGACTTCAAATATTAGCACAATAGACAAGGCACTAAATTGAAAAGTGAATGGTCAAGGTAAGAACAATCTTCTCAATGACTTGTCATCATCAGCCATTAACTAAAGCTTTAACATCACATTTCACAGAAGAGTGACAGGTTTGTTGAGAGTAAGATTCAGCAATGTAACTTAGCCATGATAAATGCAAGTAGTAGAAAAGATAAAAAGGAACTTCTGATATAAAATCAAAAGTTTTGACTGGTTTAACAACTGTGGTCAAATTGCTAAGGCTTAAAGTCTGTTTTTCTGCCTTATGAGAATAGAATGAAGCAATTGACACCTATTGCCATACATTTTGACAATCCGTTGTATTCTTCTCTTTTGGACTTTTAATTTTTTCTGACTTGTGAATTTCATATAATTTCACTTTAAAATATTTTGTTGTCATTGTACATAGTTTGCCCCGTCGCCACTATTTCTAGAAAATTAATTTAAAATAAATTTTCAAAATATATTTCAATGAATATAAGAATTGTAATTTTTTCTCAAGTATAGCTAATGTCTGATTTTAGAGAATATTAGGTTGATTTTACCGTAACTTACTTTACTGTGCTGAAATATACTTGTGTTAGGCTTTAGCAAAGCGCATTAACTAATCTGAAGTACTAGACAGTGATTTTTCTTACAAACATGATCACATGTTCCACTGGAAGATTTTTGTTCCTTATGCAATTGTATATGAATTCAAATGGGTTTATGCAGTAGAGCATCTATCAAGAAAGCACAGGCTAAATAGAATGCTATAAATTAGAATAACCAGAAGCATGAATAATTCTGTTCTTCTTATAAATGTCATATCCTCCCTTTGAAAGTAGTACTGCATACGAATGAAAAGGGAAATATTTTATTCTCCTTCTAGCATTACCGGGCTCCAGTGCCCAAGTATGAAAACAAACATAACTGGGTGTAAAATTATTTTGCTACCTAATTTTAAAATGTTGTTTCTCTTATTACATATAAAGAAAAATTAAAAAGTCCAAAAGTGATATGAGAATTATCATGCCATTCAAATATCTTTATGGCTGCTTCTCCATTTAATTTCTTTGTTTACTTTTTGTTAAAAAAATAAACTAGTTACATAATGCATAGCATCTTAGAATTTACGTGTAGATAACATTAGCCACCATCATCTTGAAATAGATATATACATTCTAGAATTTTACATTACTAGAACAAATGTTTGAAGTGCCTGAATTTAAAAAGCCTAAATGGTTATATGATTTTTTAAAATAGATATAAACAATTAAATGATTTAGTTAGTTTGTTCCTTTTGAAGTGAATCGCAAAGTAATAATGCAAATCTAAGCAGTATATTGTAACAAAAGGATTAGAATTGGACTGTGATTTTTATTCACCCTCCATGAGAAAGTATGTAGAATAATAGTCAGCATTTAACATTTATTATGGCTCTACTATGTGCCAGGTACAATTAAGAATGTTACATTTCTAATTTCCTTGATAATCCTAAGGATCAAATAATTAATACTAGAAGTTAACAATTGAGAACATTGAGAATAAAGGACGAAAAATACTTTGCTGTGAACAAAATACAAATAAAGGCCAGTTTCCAGTGGATAGCCAATGTGGTGAGACATGAATCTCGGTATGGTATCTGGAATTAATAATTGAGTTAGCACTGGATTTCTCCCCTCCTGCTCATGACCACTCTGCTCTTATGGAAAAAATGAACAAAATTCCTGCCCATCTTTTGGTCATTGTCTCAGAGGCAATATAAAAGAGTCAAGATAAAAACATGAGAGAGGATATAACACATATTTTGCAAACTATTTTATATATATCTTAAATAATGATGTCAGATAATCTGTCACTATCAGAATATAATCCAAATGTGTGAAAACTGCTTATAAGATATAACAACCCAAATAAATACCAAATTTTGACAAATCTGTGATGAAATGACAAATTTAAAGATTACTTAATGGAGTGTTATTATTTGAAATGTTCAATTCACAACTCTTCAAAAAAAAAAAAGTCACATGAACTTGGCCAAGCACTAACAACTAGGAATATTAATTTTGCAATTTTTAAAACAAAGAATATGTTCTTTATTAGCCCCAAGTTTACCGGTGTTGAGATTATAAGACTGAAGAGGAAAAAGTTAATAAAATACGTGGTGTCAAATGAAAGTATCTATTTCTTGACTTAGTAAGAAGAATATTTAAAGACTTTATTACATTATGCCATTTTAATCCAGATAGATTCATGACTATAATATTTTTAAAGTTTATCATGCTAAATAGTTCAAGATCCCCTCTATAAATTTGTTATTCATTTATTTAGATAAACCTCCCCCATTGCAAAATTAAAGTTACAGAAATGTAAACCTCAGTTTTAATCTTAATAACTTAAAAATTGATTTTTGGATAAATTGGCCCAGGTTTTACCAAATAGCAAAACCTAACTAAATGATGGCTTGATATCCATCTCTTCCATGACACTTCAAATCTGGAAGTTAGAGTTTGACCTTTCTCTACAATTCCCTTGGCCAAAGAATCCTTAACCTTTTACAGGCTTTTCCCAAACCTTTTACAGGCTTCTCTTTTCCCAAACCTTTTACAGGCTTCTCTTTCTGTCCATACCAAATTTTCCATCTCCTGGAATTCTATACTCAACTCACATAATTATTATTGTATGTTTTTTTGTTAGGATATCTTGTTTGTTCTCAAGAATCTCTCTGTTTCATATGTTGATGATACAAATTTTAGCTTTATCCCAAGGTTCTTCTAGCCTAGGACTGCAGCCTATTTTTATCTTCCAAAAGTCTTTCAAACCTCCAAACCTAAGCTCCATTATTTTTTAACTTGATTAATATGATAAACACATCCCATCTGCTAATTAAAAAATAAAATATTGGTTGTTTCACCTTTTCTTTTTTTTTTTTTTTTTTTTTTTGAGTTGGAGTCTCACTCTGTCGCCCAGACTAGAGTGCAGTGGCCGCTTCCGGCCACCGCAGCCTCGACCTGCTGGGCTCCGGCGATCCTTCCGCCTCAGCCTTCCAAGTAGCTGGAACTACAGGCATGCACTACCATGCTTGGTTAATTTTTTGATTTATTGTAGAGATGAGGTTTCGCCTGCCCAGGTAGGTCTCAAACCCGCGGGCTCAGGCAATCCACTCACCTCAGCCTCCCAAAGGCGTGGGATTACAGACTGAGCCACCGAGCCCGGCTGTTTCATCTTTTCCTCTTGTCCACCACTTCCAACCAGCCACCAAATCTTGCTATTTCTTTATCCAAAATGTGTTTCACATTTGCCTACTTCTTTTCATGGTCATAGACAGATTTCTCAGTAGAAGCAATCATTTTCCCTTCGTGTGTCAGCATCCTAAGTGTTCTACTCTGTCAACAGTCTCATTCTTCCAGGTTTTCTGTCCAAAGCTTTGTCATCATAAACACAATTTTGTTCATGTCAGGATGAAGACTTACAAACCTCAGGGAGAGTGCTCATTGTACTGTTTTAATAACAAAGCAGAACAACACTTAAAACAACCTAACTGATTTATTAAATAAATCATGGAACAGTCACATACTAGAATACGATACTGTTTTCTAAGATGATGACACAATAGGTATACCTTTATTGATAAAGATATTTATATTGTTAAGCAAGAAGAGCATATTAGCAAATAGTATAAATAGCTATAACCACTACTATAGAGTAAATTATGTCACTTTCAGTTTGAACATTGTATCTAATTGTTATATACTAAATAAGTAGATTTTAGCTGCTCTTGTTACAGATACACAAAAGCAACTATTTGAGATGATAGATATGCTAATTTGCTTTACTATAGTAACCATTTCTTATTTAATTTATGCCATGACATCATATTGTAATCCTCAAATATACACAATAAAATCTATCTATCTATCTATCTATCTATCTATCTATCTATCTATCTATCTATCTATCTATCTACTTGTTTTTGAGTCAGTGTCTCACTCTGGCACCCAGGCTGCACTCTCATAACCACCGCAGCCTTGACCTGCTGGGTTCAGTTGATCCTTCTGCCTCAGTAGTTGGAGTAGTTGGAGCCACAGGCATGTACCACCACACTCGGCTAATTTTTTATTTATTATAGAGACGAGGTCTCACCAAGTTGTTCAGGCTGGTCTTGAACCCCTGGACTGAAGCAACCCTCTCACCTCTGCCTACCAAAGTTCTGGGATTATCGGCGTGAACCACCATGCTCAGCCAATAAAATTTATGTTTTAACAAAAGACATAGGCCAATGCATGCTAACAGGGAGCTTCCTGAATGGGAGAGAATATACATGCACATTTTTATATTGCTAGCATCCAGCACGCTATCGCTCACATAATGGGAACTCAATACAAATATTTATACCTCATGTATAAATTAAAATAGTGAGTAAGTTGGGCACTGATTCAGTAGAGAAGGAGACTCAAATGGAGAAAAATCTAGAGGAAAATAAAGCCCAGAAGTAACTACAGTGATTCTCTGTGAGTGTGCGATTATTGGCAAATTTTATTTTCTGTATATATATATTTTTTTCATTTTTTACTTTTCTACAATACATGCAATGCATATTGTTACAGGCTCCAAGAAGCCCAGAAATACTTAAAATATTAATTCAATCTATTTTCTAAGACCTACTCAACAAAATGTATCACTTTTTAGTAACACTCTGGAAAGGGGGAAACAGAGAAATACTCCTCTGAATAACTTACTCATGTAAACCACTCATTTACTTGTTCACCAACTAGTTAACTTTAGT